GAGTGCTATTTAATTTATTATGCCCTATTCTTAATCTGGTCATAATAGTCTCTTCTCTCCTGTTTCCCCTCTGCTCCCCAATCGGGCTCAAACTGATAAGCGATATTAAGGACTCCTTGTTTACAATACAACCGGAGCACATGCCGCTGAGGTGAGGGGCGGGACATTTAGACGCGCACTAGAGGCGGTTTAGCCAATCACAACACACTGGGCTAGCTAACCAATCAGAGCCCATCGCCTATTTCTGAGGGCGGGGCTTCATAAAAACAGGAAAAGATCAGTCCGTTTCTTAGAGAAGGGACAGAGCTGTGTGGAATAAAGGTAAATTATGTGAAAAATAATGCGTTTTGTTTAAAACGAAGCATTAACACATGTTAGACTGCACCCCATAAACACAGTCAAGCCTAGAAAAAACCCAGTGAACCACCCCTTTAACATCAACTGTCACATGTAACTAATTGTAACTACTCAAATTGTTAGATGCAAGTACTCAAATGCTAAATCCATGTTTGTATTTCTTCCAGATGATCTGTCTGAACTGTGCCACTACTGTGGCATGGAAGATGACAAGCCTCAGAAGAAGGCAAATAAGATCCCGTGCCTGACCATCAACTGGGTAAGAGCATCTTTTCCAAAACAGCAACAAACAAAACACATTTAAGGTTAAATAGTTTTTTTAATCACTCTCAAATTTTTTTGAGTACACTGAAATTTGAATTTGAAATCTGATTTTTTTTTTTTTTTTTACAGATCCAGTGTGGAGACTGTAACAGATGGTTACACCAAGATTGTGTTGGGACTGACAGTAATTTTCTCTGTGCAGCATGTTTTTAAATTTACTAGTACACACAAATGTAAAGTGTAATCAACATTTTTTGGGGGGTGGGGACTGTGCAATGTCCTTCACACACCATGTTATAGGCTTTATTTTTTACTTCTATTACTAGAATTATTTCAACAATTTAAAATTACCTTGTCCTAATTTAATATAAAATTTATTTGTTCGAATTTGATAATAAATACAGGGTGTCCGCGGGTCCTTAACAAGTCTTAAAATGTCTTAAATAACATTTTCCTAATATAAGGCCTTAAAACGTCTTAAAAAGTCTTAAATTCGGATTCGATGGGTTTTAATTATTTTTGGTCACATTACCGCTAAAATATCTTAAGTCTGACGGACCTAATGACTTTACAATCATTGGACAGACCGAAGATGTTTTCTTCCCCGCGGTAAGTTACTGCGTCATCAGAGAGAACTGCAGTAAATTTACAGAATACAGAATACAAGCTCGCGCTGAGGCTCACTCTATTTATTACAGCAATGATATTTTGTTTTCTTTTTAATTTATACACATTAAATATTACATATATGTATGTAATAAAATGTGTATTTCCATTACAGGTTTAGGTCTTAAATTTCATATAAGGTGGTATTAAAAAGGTCTTAAAAAGTCTTAAATTTAACTTGTTCATGTCTGCAGAAACCCTGTAAATATTTCTGTGTGCATATACTAAATGTGCAGTTTTTATCTTTCTGAATAAAGTCCACAAAAGCTTTAAAACACCTTACACAGTGTCATCTCAACTTGATGTCCTTTTTTTTCTTTGAAAAATTTTTTTAGTTTGCTTTTGAGCCACTTGTTAATGTTAAAGTCATTGCAATGAATCATCAGACTAAAAACGGGTCTTTTTACTAATAATGAATAGAGTATGATAAAAAAAAATGTATAATTGAATTTGGGGGCCATGATATATGTCTGTTGCTGTTTACATCCGACCAAAATGAAAGTTGCAAAACGGGAGATCACCAGTGTTGGGCTAGTTACTCAAATAATGTAATATATTACTCATTACTAGTTACTCCTTTCAAAAGTAATATTGTTACTTTACTTAGGCCTATTACTTTCTGGCAACAGTAATTAGTTACACTACTAGTTACATTACTTTTTCTTCACGCCCCACAGAAGTTGTAACTGTGATTCATTCATTACCCATATACGATTATACTTCATTATGTATTTTATCAAATCACATAAGTTTGTAAGAAATGGTTTAATTTTCCAAAAAGATTTTTAATTATAGTAATATAATGTACCACATGCTGATCAGAGGGGTGTGGGTGGGATGTAATGCCAGAGTAAAATAAAGCCACAGTGTTCAGATCATCTTTTTTCCTAACAAAATCAATATAATCATTAGTAATTAGTAACACTACTAGTTACTGCAAAAAGTAATATTATTACAGTAACTAATTTACTAACTAGTTACTGCCCGATACTGGAGATCACACATCATCAGTGTGAATATACACACATGGAAACATACAAAAAATAGCAACAAACACACAATTTTACAACATCTTTGTATTCCTAGCATTTCCTGTGTTTAATTGCCTCTTTCTAATAAATCACTTGCTGTATTCCTCAATTGTAAGTCACTTTGGATAAAAGCATCTGCTAAATGAATAAATGTAAATGTAGGCCTACAACATTCAAAAGCATCCAAGTACACTTCGTTTTACTGGTCTGATGATTTTAATTAATAAATAACACTGAGAAAGCTAAATTAAACCTGGGAAAAACACACAGAAAACGGAGAACTTGTATAATAACATTTATTTTCTTGCGTGTTCAATCAGCGCATCTGTTTCTCCACAGCACCCTAGACGGTCTTCGACCGCTTAAAAATCATCATATGTGTTCTACTGAAGAAACAAAGTCACCTACATCTTGGATGCCCTGGGGGTAAGCAGATAAACATCACATTTTCATTTTTGGATTAACTATCCCTTTAAATTATGCCCTGCTATACTCACTAAACTATTAAATTCCGCCTGAGAGGACTGCGACTGCAACTTATCGTCATTTCATTTGGACTACTGTGGTAGCCTACTGCTTTTTGGCATTTCTGCAATAAATAAATTCTTGTGATTAACTTTACACTTGTCTGTCTGTTATACTGTATAAATGTTTAGTGTACTTTGTAAATATTGTACATTTCAGCATCTCTCCAAAATGTTTTGTACTAGTAACGTTACATGGTGCATAATAATATATGTTACGTATAAGATAGCTTTGGTTGAGTTGTTCTTTATAAAAAATAAAACCTTTTTAATGCAATACATTTTTTATTGTACAGTTACATGATTTGTGGATTTTAAGGATCATTTTCTATTCAGTTAAATGTGCTTTATTGGTATATTCTGTGTTTGCATTACCAAAATTTCACAAATAATGGCAATTACTGTAAAAAAAAAAACACAATGCAATAATATCAAATATTAATATTCTGTATTGGGTCTGGGCTATATAAGGCTCAGGTGTGGCTCAGTTTTGGGGCTTCTGGTTTACTTAAGGCTGAGAATCGGTACCAATGCTAAAACCTATTCAGGCCCAGTGCAGGGCCACTTATGGCCCTTCGTCGGATCTGCCGGCCGCGCCGTTCTCGACCCCGCCGCCTCTGCTCTCTCTATCCCGATTCAAACGCGGGTTTTGGGCAGTGTGGATTAACGTTAGCACTTGTTGTTTGTCATTTCTCTGATCACAAATGCAGACAGGGTTTTATGTTTACGTGACGCGATGCAATGCAATGCAACGCGTAAAAAGACAGTATAAGTCATTATAATCAGTAATTATGTCCCCACTGGATGCAACAAATGCCTCGTTTGTAATGGGTTTTAATGTTTTTGTCTCGTCGCCAATGGACCAGAAAAAAATTGCAATGTGGGATTTTATCATCAGTTTCATTTCGGCAGACTTGTTAATAGACAAAACTATACAAATGTGTACAGTATATAGAAAAGTGGTACAGTGTTAGACATTTGAAATGAACAGACATTAAAAGATTTACTTAAAAATTAAACATATATTAAAAAACAGACTCGTGTTGTGAGTTTAACTTTCAATGACTTGAGTGATATGATATATAATGTTCTAATATACTTAAAATAAAGATGAATAATAGCTTTCAAAACAATACAAGTTATGATGCACAGAAATAAAAATTCTTAGCCAAAAAATCTAAAATTCTGAAGACATTTTTTTTTCTTAAAAATATCCAAATTTACTGAATATTTCTCATAAGTTTCATCATAATAAATTTGTATTGGGTAACTATGGTTACCAACATTTTCTGTCAGTCACATTAAACCCCGCCCCATCATATGATGAAGAGCACATTGCACGTGTAGGTCAAAACTTGAAAACATATTCTTGTACAAGAATGTCAGTACAAAGAGCTTTATTTCATTTCATTTTATGCATTACATGTGTGTATCCATGGATTGTATTGTGAGCAAAAGATATGTATTTGTGAGATGTCGATCAGTTACAGTAATGGTGGTGACTGTATAGATTTTTGGCTGAAATTTCAGCATATATAGACTGTTAACTTTTCTGAAGTAACTTGATGGTCTGCGGTGCTGTATTCTCATTGGCCTCATGTATTCATGAAAGTCAATATTTCACATCTACAAATGCAGAAGATCCTGCTATATTTACTCCCGGGACTCAGTTTAGCTTTTTTTGTAACTTTTTGCCATAATGCTACATTACATCATGGGCAGCTTTCAGTCAAAGTGTCCCATTCATTTCTCTCTCTCTGTGCCAGCTGTCCTGTACTAGCCGGGATGTTGTGTAATTTAGTGGAATTTTAGACATGTCCTGCACGCGAAACTGGTCCTGTATCAAACCCTAAGTCCCCCCCCACCTTAAATCATTTCACACAATGTACATGCATACTGCTCTGTCCATGTCGAGGTTTATATTATCAGATCTGTTTCTGGCACAGTGGGTCACCCCGTCCCACCTGAAACAGGAGGCTTTTCTGTGAGTTAGTTTGTTCTCTATGTGTTCTTATGGGTTTCTTCCAGGAACTCCGTGATTTGGAGACGTCTGGGACATCTTGTGATTTGGTCAAATTTAATCATGTGTCAGATGGGACATCCTGGTCCTGTATCAAACCTGAAGTCAGGTCACAACCACACCCCGGCCCATCCCCTATTAAAGGGGCGAATCGATTGAGGGGTCCCAAACAGGAATACTTCACAGAAGGACTCACACTTCAGTTGACTATGGCTGGCAGACAGGCTGTGAAAGCGTACTTAGATCTCGTGTCTCAGGCCTGCAGGGCTGTACTAATATTCCTCAAAGACAACAAAATTCCACATACGGTGGAAAACATTGCCATACGAAAAGGTGAGCAACATTGTTGTGAGTATGTTGTTCAGTGGAGACTGTGAGAGCTGTTTTGAATGCATTTGTAAAGTCCTGATGATTTGAATCCAAACCTCTACAAAATGTATGCTGAATATAGTCTGTTTATATTTATTAATGCTCTTGAACTTGAATCTCTAGGGCAGCACAAAACACCTGAGTTCACCAAACTCAACCCCATGCAAAAACTGCCCGTGTTGGAGGACAACGGATTTGTTCTCACTGAGAGGTAAGAAGAGAGAGTGTAGCTAAAAAAACAGATCAAATGTGTGATATTCTTCTAAGCTTTGGTTTTGTGTCACAGTGACGCCATATTGAAGTATCTGGCGACAGCCTATAATGTCCCTGATCACTGGTACCCCAAACTACCAGAGAAGAGAGCTCGAGTGGATGAGTACACGGCCTGGAATCACGCCAACACACGTATACACATTTCCTCCATCTTCTTGCATGAGGTAGGGTTTGACATGTGGCTAGTTGACATGACATTTCAAGCAGTGACTTCATTCTTCTTCTAAAATGGTTATAAACTGCTTTTACTTGTTTCATTTCGGCAGACTTAGCAGGTTTTGTATTTCTGTACAGGGTTTACTTCCACTCATGGGACAGCCGACACATCCAGAGAAGCTTGAAAAGGTGCTGGCAGACCTGGATGGCACACTAGACAAGCTGGAAAACGTGTTTCTGAAGAACCAGCCCTTCCTGTGCGGTGACGACATCTCATTGGCTGACCTGTTAGCAGTTTGTGAGCTCATGCAGGTAAGAACTCAGAGCCGCTAAACGTACTGTGAGGTTTATTGCATTTAGAGGCCATTATAAACAATTCATTGGGACGAAATTGAATATTCATCCACAATTGTGCATGTAAAAACATAAAGAGACACATGAGCCTATAAGGCTTTGCATCTTTGATGTCGTTTGATCGTCTCTTTCAGCCCCTGTGTAGTGGGAGGGACATTCTGAAGGACAGACCCAAACTGCTGAGCTGGAGGAGTCGAGTTCAGTCAGCGCTCTCGGACTCCTTTGATGAAGCTCACTCTGTTGTCTATCAAATAAGGGAGAAGTTCACAGCTAAACTGTCTCCCTGTTTAAAACAAGCCACTCTGTAAAGATATGATTCACAATTGGTCACAATTAACATGGCAAAGTGTTTCTGCAGTTTACCTTTTGGGATCAATGATGTATCTGACATGTGCAGTTTGCTCAGTTTACTTAAAATATTGTATTAACTTCTCAATGTACTGTATAACGCAATGTATGCACAACATAAACTGTTTTTTTTTATTTTTTTGGCTGCCTTTTTGGCCTTTTAAAATATATACACAAGACAGTTTGAATGAATGTAATGGTTTACAATGATTTAAGTCACAAATCCTCAAAAGCAGAAAATGTAAAAATATTATGGCTGACACACAAAAATATGTATATAGAAAACTGGTACAGTGTTAGACATTCAGGAAGAACAGACATTGTAAGAATGTTCTAAAAATTAAACATACACAGTAAATAAAAATCAGACTCAAGTAATTTTCAATGACTGGAGTGATACAATACAAAATATTCTGATTAATGTAACAAGCATACAATGCACGTTATGAGGAGGTGGTATGCACCAATGGATGGTGGACTAAACATGGGTCATTTTGATATCAAACACGGTACCAATAGGGTTACATTGTGTATTAATTCTACCATAAAGCATGCATAAAACGGTATACAATACAACAATACAAAAGACAATATACAAAACAGTAATGATACACACGTCCTGGGGATGTGCACGTTCATTCATAGAAAGGTTTGAATTAATGAAAGGAAATCCTTTTCTATGCGCAGTTAAGAGGGAGGCTCTCTCTTCATTCTTTTGGGGTCGTAAAGTTTATCTAGTTACCTGGTAACCAGAGGTCTGTTCTGTCCTTTCAGGGGAAGGGTTCCAGAGAACCTCATGGTTTGCCTGTTTGGTGTTGAATGTATGTGGTTTATTTGTTAAATATAACAAATAATAATGTGTCTATTTTTTCCAGCTGTTAAACTGTTCCTAGCTCCTTCGTCGAATCCGCCGGCCACGCCGTTCTCAAGCCCGCCTCCGCTCGCTCTAGGCCACGGTGTATGACGCCGTTTTGTTGTGAAAGCGAACCTACTTTGTTTGGCCTTCCAAAAGAGGACACGGCTAGAAATCAGTGGTTAAGTTGTATTTACAACACTGTTCCCAACAGTTTAACCCAAATATTCAGATGTGTCCAGCGCATTTTTGTGAAACTACTTTGTTTGGTCTTCCAAAAGAGGACGATATCGCTTCGTCATGCCTGGAGCTGATCCGTGCTGGTCGCTGAGGAAATACATCAACTTCGCGCTGTGGATCGCCGGATCGGCTTTCACCGTGGACGAAGCAGAGTCCAGCCTGGGTTCGTCACATGTGGTTGCCGCAAGCCCTCCGGACGCTCTTTCATTTTATGGAGGACTGTTTCCTGATCCTGGTAGAGTAGACTACAATGCCGGCTGTTCTGACTCACAGACTTTTTATATTTAAAGAATATTTAAAGAATTTGCCACTGATGATTCAAACGCGAGTTTTGAGCAGTGTAGACTAGCACTTGTTGTTTGTCATTTCTCCGATCACAAATGCAGACATGGTTTTATGTTTACGCAGCGCGCGATGCAACGCAACACGTAAAAAGACCATATAAGTCATTATAATCCGTAATTATGTCCCCACTGGATGCAACAAATGCCTCGTTTATAATGGGTTTTAATGTTTTTTGTGTCGTCGCTCCGGCCTGACAGGGCATCACAATATGGTGAGGGGCGTAACATTTCCGTCACACGCTTGAGGTATTCAGCCAATCACAACATACTGGATAGCTGGCCAATCACAGCACACCTCGCTTTTCAGAACGATGAGCTTTGTAAAAATCGACGCGTTTCAGAAAGGCGGGGCATAGAGGAGAAACAATAATGTACAGTATGTGGAAAATAATGTGTTTTTTTAACCTTAAATTGCATAAACACATTTCTTTACACCAAATACACAAAATAATGTTATTTTTAGCAGCATCATATGACCCCTTTAAAAGTAACATAAATGTATGTTCTCCATTACATTTCAAAGTAGACATTTTTGGTGAAACCCCAGACTAGTATTTGTAAAAAAAAAAAAAAAGCAAATACAAATAAATTAAATCTGAATAAATTAAATGCCTAGAAATGATCCCTTGCGGCCTCAACATTATATTTCCTGACTTTCATATACTCTCTAGCAAACTTTAACTTTACCTCTAAGTGTGAACAATTCCTTTGTCCTCCAATGGGGGTAACAAGAAACTTGAAATTCTGAGAAATACAAATAACTATTTTTCATGTTGTGGCTGATAACTGATCAAGGTCTGTTATTAAAAATCTATGCTACTTTGTTGAAGAAACACTAAATCAGTCAATCAACTTTTATTGATATGTCAAAAATTTACATTTTGCAAAAATTGTCATTTGTTTCTTATTTTCTTAGAAAGCAGAGGTTACACTCTCTTTGTGGAAAATTATTTCAAATATTTGCTTTCAAAAGTCACTGTCTAGAATTCAAGAAAAATTACAACATTTGTTAGAAGGATGTTTGTGTTGTGTGAATGTGATATGCAACATGAAGTTGCAAGTTTTAATTGGACATTTATCATCACAGAAAGGTAAGGCACAAGTGTGAGAAGGAAAACCATCATTCAAGAGCAAACCTGGGTCTTGACGTTCACACACTTTCACTCTTGTAAATAGTATTCTTTTACCAATTCCTGTCAACAATAAAATGTTTTTACATTTTCTGCTCCTTCGGCACAAACTATGGGCACAAAAAAAGTTCACTAAACTTGTGGATATAAGCCTCTTTTCAAACCATACATTAATCAAACATGATATTGAACAAACTGCATATCCATGTTAAACAGATCTTTAATTTGTGACATATAATCTTATTATTATATAACATATAATTAACTGCTGTGAATAAAGAGTTGATTTTTCACAGTTTAGCTGTGAACTTCTCCCTTATTTGATAGACAACAGAGTGAGCTTCATCAAAGGAGTCCGAGAGCGCTGACTGAACTCGACTCCTCCAGCTCAGCAGTTTGGGTCTGTCCTTCAGAATGTCCCTCCCACTACACAGGGGCTGAAAGAGACGATCAAATGGGCTCATATAGACTCATGTGTCTATTTATGTTTTTGCATGCAGAATTGTGCATAAGTATTCAATTCTGTCTAAATTAATGGCGCATAACAGTCTCTAAATGCAATCAACTTCACAGTATGTTTAGCGGCTCTGAGTTCTTACCTGCATGAGCTCACAAACTGCTAACAGGTCAGCCAATGAGATGTCGTCACCGCACAGGAAGGGCTGTCTCTTCAGAAACATGTTTTCCAGCATGTCCAGTGTGCCATCCAGGTCTGCCAGCGATTTTTCAAACTTTGCAGGATTTGTCGGCTGTCCCATCATTGGAAATATAACCTGTACAGGAATACAAGTCAAAATAGATAAACAAACTAGTATTAAATGAAGAATAAAATCACTGCTTGAAATGTCATGTCAACTAGCCACATTTCAAACCCTACCTCTTGCAAGAAGACTGTGGAAGCGTGCATACGTGTGTTCACATGATGCCAGGCCGTGTACTCGTCCACTCGGGCTCTCTTCTCTGGCAGTTTGGGGTACCAGTGATCAGGGACATTGTAGGTTGTTGCCAGATACTTCAGTATGGCATCACTGTCACCAAGAACAGTTAATAATAGAAACAACAATTCAAATAACACAATTTTTTAAATGACAAGACTTCCAAATGTTCAAAGTACAAAGGTTTCCTCTTTTTTACAACTACAATCTCTCCATACCTCTCAGTAAGGATGAATCCATTGTCGTCCAACACTGGCACTTTTTGCATGGGGTTGAGTTTGGTGAACTCAGGTGTTTTCTGCTGCCCTACAGTTCCATGTTCAAGGGCATGGTGAAGGTTAATGCAGGATAAAGTTTAAATAATACAAAGCATACAAAGTTCTGAAATAAATATAGAAGGGCTATGTAAATCTGTAGAATAACCTTTGTACAGTCTTGGATTCACGCCATCTGGACTTTACAAATGCACACTGCACTGCTTCCACTGAACAACACACTCACAACAATGTTGCTCACCTTTTCGTAACGCAATGCGTTCCACCGTATGTGGTATTTTGTTGTGTTTAAGGAATATTAGTAGAGCCCTGCATGGCTGCGACAAGAGATCTAAGTACGCTTTCACAGCCAGCCTGCCAGCCATAGTCAACTGTAAGTGGGTTCCCCTTTAGACTGAAACACAACACTCCTGCTTTGACAAGCGTCACTGGTCAATAGTCCAATCACAAGCTGCTTAAGAAAAACGACACAAAAATGTGTCTTCCTACAAAGGGCAGATAGTGGCTCACAAACGTTAAACTCACAAACGCTAAACTAAAACTAAAACGCTATAACTGAAAAACAATAGGTATTGCGTTTCTGTAATCTCTATAAGATTAAAAATTTTGAAAAAAAAAAATCACGTAATTCTAAACGACAGTGATTGGTCGATCCGTATCAGCGTTGAGAAAAACAACACATATCACGTGAAAACGCGTTCTACGTGGCTTCAGCTGCGCTCTGAATAGTAGCCTACTGCGTAATCATTTTCAAAAAACAAAAAAGGGGAAAACCTTTAAAATACGTTAAGTATGTTAAGTACTAAAGATGCTGTGAAAAGAACCGTGAAAGCCTACTACTTTTATGCACTGTGAAAAAAAAATATTGTCATAATTTTCTCAAAATGTTTGTTGACGTTAAAATGAAGTGAATTCAAGCTTGATTCAAGCAGTGGTTTTTAGTGCTTGTAAAGTATCTGCAAACGTTGAGAATGTTAAGAATTAAAAAATACCTGACTGTGAAAGATACAAACAATAGTGTCGTGCAAACAATTCCTTTATTGCAAAAAAAAATTGTTGTTGACATTAAAATAAATTTAAGCATGATTCATTCCGTGATTTCATGAGATGTTTCTTGCTTAAGACCATAATATGGATCCATTTTACAGAATTAGAAATAAAAAGTAATTACAGAAACCAGTATCATACGAGTACACTTATTCTAATTATACTTTGTAGTATTTCTGCATAGTAGTTTAACGATATTGATTTGTATAAAACACATCCAAGATGTAATACTATTGAAAGTCCCTACCATCATGTGATTTTCCTTGATGTAAAAGGCAGTATTCATGTTGAAGACACATGATGTATAGTATAGTGTCTGTGTCATAAAGATATTTTCTGGTTTAACATTTCCAAGTATTCTGGCACATTCATACATAAGTACACAGATATTATAAAACCCTTTATAATACAGTGCTTTGTGTATTGTGTGTGTTACATCGGTGTGGACAGTAGAGGGCCCTCAGTACCATTGGCAGCAATGAGCTTCTTTCTAGAGTGAAACTCGCTCTGAATCTCCAGAAAGGTCTTGTTCTTGGTTTCAGGGACCACAAAGAAGATGTAAGTGGCCACCAAGCAACATATAACGAGGAAAACAAGGAAGCAGTACTGCTTTAGTCCATTCTGAAAGAGATTGAGAAAGAAAAGTTTGTTAAAAACAAAACATTTAAATTCCACTTTGTTTTTAATAATCCTCATCAAAAAGTAATTAACAAATATCATCATTTGATTGTTTTTACATAATCTGCATGGTAAATAAGGTCCTGTATCTAGGTGAAATGCAACTGCTTTGTGAAAATAACCATATGTATGTGGGTAAAAGGAAAGAAGGTGCTCATATATACCACAATAAATGGAAAGATCATGCCAACGAAGAAGAAAGCGATCCAGTTGATAGAGCCACCGATCATGTACGCAGCAGGCCGATCGGTTTGGGTAAACAGCTCTGTTGTTAAAATGTTTGTTACACCACCTACAGCACAAAGCACATTGATATTACTGATCAAACTAGTGTGTATACCAGTGTGTAGGCTACCATCGTAATATAGCCTAACAATACAAGTGTGGAGAGAGAGAAGTTTTTTATTAAAGGAATAGTTCACTAAAAAAAGAATATTTGCTGAAAATTTACTCACCCTCAGGGCATCCAAAAATATGTTTCTTCATCAGAACATATTAGGAGAAATTTAGCATTACATCACATGATCACCAATGTATCCTCTGCAGTGAATGGGTACCGTCAGAATGAGAGTCCAAACAGTGGATAAAAGCATCACAATAATCCACACGACCCCAGTCCATCAATCAACGTCTTGCTGTAAGCGGGTTGCCAAATTTTGATCAAAATAGTGCTAGGACACTGAAGAGAGCACCTAATTTTCTCTACTTTCTTAAAGTAAAGAACATCTCTTACCCAGCGGGTGTGAGACGGAGGGTGAGGGCTCTTCCAGTTCAGGAGAATTCAACACCAAGCCAAAAGGGTTAAAAAGGCTACAAAGTCTGAGAAATGAGAAGGCAAAGAGTGGCCAGGTGGGAGAACCCCAAATAAACCAGTAATTGGACAAGGTGGAATATCGACAAAGGTAATGGCTGACAATGAGACAAAAAATTCGCCTCCAAAAAGAAGACAGGGCAGGACAGGACCAGAACATATGGATTAAAGTAGCTGAACCACAATGACACCTGTCACACTCAGGGTCTATAGAGGGGTTAATGTGAGCTAGCCTGCTCTTAGACCAGTGGGCTCTATGTACCACCTTGCACTGTTATGAGCCTGTGACGTGTGCAGAGAAAAGAGGAGTTAACCCTGTTCAAGACCTCTTTCCATGTCTCGTCGTTAATGACGGCACTAATGTCTTGGGACCAGACAATGCGTAGGTTATCAGAGAAAATTATATTTACTAATTTAGAAATTGACCCTTTAGCACAAGGATCCACACCCAGTATGGTGTCCAAATCGGAAGAAAGAGGCGCATTTGGAAAGTTGACCATTTTTTACCCACAAAATCTCGAGTTTGTAAATATCTGAAAAAAATGGCTTTTGGTCATATTAAACTGAGAGGTCAAGTGATCAAAAGAGGCAAAAACACCATTGATGTAAAGGTCACCAATAGAAACCAATCCAAGGTCTCTCCATAAGGCATAAGCACTGTCCAAGATGGGAAAAGATTGGAGTGTATTGGGGATAATAAAGGGGTATTATGAAGACCAAAATACTGCAAAAATTAGGTCCAGATTTTAAGACTATTTTTTACAATTATATTATTTGAATATTTCATTAGGGCCATTGTATATGGGAGGCATAAAAGGGCAGCCAAAGAGGAGGACTTATTACATGAGGCATTCTCAATGTGCAGCCAGGAAGAGGGAATGACTAAGTTGCATGAACGGAACCAATACATAGTAGATCGTATATTTGCTGCCTAGTAATATATTTGAACATTTGGAAGAGCCAGACCACCCATTAGTTTTATCTTCTGAAGAATGCCTTTTCGAATCCTTAGGGTTTTTTTTTTCCACTACTACTACTACTAAATAAGTACAAAAATTTAGGGAGTATGTTCATCTTAATTCAGTTAACCAGGGATATAGGGAGGAGGGACCTGTGTAAAATCCTGTGTAAGATGATTAACTAATGGGACAAAGTGCCATTGATCCCTCCTCCCTGTGGTCAAATAAGTCTGAAAAGCTTTTTGTCACATTTATGCCCAAATATCTAAAACTCTGTAAAGAAGATTTGAAAGGCAGAGATGCTAATGGGTATTCCAAGGCTGCTGTATTGAATAAAATGTACTTTTATTCAAATTTAGCTAATAGCCTGAAATTAGGCTAAAATCTGCTAACAGATTCAACACCAAGGGAACGGAGGTACCGGGGTCAGACATGTATAACAAGAGATCGTCTGCGTTTAAAGATAGCTTATGCTCTAACCCTCCCCTCTGTATGCCAGCCATTGCACTGGATCTTAAAGCAATTGCCAAAGGCACAATGGCTATTGCAAATAGCAGAGGAGAGAGTGGGCAGCCCAGTCTAGTCCCGTGACCAAGGGAGAGATACTTAATAGTTATTATTTGTCCGCACACAAGCCATGGGAGATGTGTATAAAAGCCTAATCGAAGCTTTAAATTGATCAGGAAAATCAAGTTTCTTCAGTGTGTAAAACAAATAGCTTCACTCGACTCTATCGAGTGCCTTCTCAGCATCCATGGAAATAACTAATTCTGGAGATATATTCAAAGAAGAAGAGTAAAGAATATTCAAAAGCCAGTTAATATTATGAAAAGAGTGTCTATTTTTAATAAACCCTGTTTGGTCTGGTGAAATTATGGTTGGAAGAACAGTCTCCAAATGTCTTGCTAGAACTTTATCTAATATTTTCATATCAGAACAAAGCACTGAGAAGGATCTTTATCTTTCTTGAGCATAAGGGAAATAATAGGCTGCCGTAAAGATTGAGGGAGGATACCTGAACTGTAGGATTCATTGTGACGAGAGGGGCGGGGCCGAGAGCCGTGGGAACGGTTAAAGCTAAAGTGCTACTAAAGAACTACTAGTGATCTGGACCATTATTTTAAAGTGAAAAACACCTTAACCACTCAGTAATTACTAAGTAATTTAATAAGTTATTTAACATATTTTATATCTGACACATACATTTGTGTGAGGCTCTAGTGATATTTTACCAGACACTGTAATCTGGAATATGCGGTTTTGTGCTTAACACAATATAAATGCAGTCGATGCCTTCATTAAGGATGTGAATTGTTTTTGTCAAGAGAACATCATTATTTATATTCAAGAAAAGTCCTCCCCAGCCTACTGTCACTAAAGGTATAGGTCTTTTGGAGTCGGAGACATACTGAACTGACACAAACTAGAGCTCATAATTGTAAACTAATTCAATCACTTCCTAATTATTAACATTTTTAAATGAATTATTTTTATTATTATTTTATGTTTTTGTTTGAAATAAACAGGTAACATCCATCCTTTGTTAAGAGTAGTAGTCACAATTTCAACCTGTAGCCGACTTATTTGGGGGATATCATATTCAATAATTAGTTTCCACAAAGAACCCAATTGTTCACTTTTAAGACGTTACTGTTGTGATTAGTAATTAATTGGTTATTCTTTATTAATTGGTCATAGTTCGCAAGTAGTTCTCAATGAGGATATATTTTTTTAGTAATTATCAAATATCTAATAAGTAACTACCTTTGTCCTAAATTTGCTACTACTTACTGCTTAGTTAATCTTGCTCCTCTATTAGTTAATAGTATTAAGTTAAGTGTTAATGTAGTACTACCTATTACTTCCTGCATAGTTACTTGTTAACAAGGGACCATTATTCTAAAGTGTTACCCTTAAATGTTCGCCGGTTCCCGCCTCCTTCTTCCCGTGACTACAAGCTTTGTT